ACACACACACACACACACACACACACACACACACACACACACACACAAATGCATAAAATATCTGCAAGAATAAAGAGACTGGTATCATTGGCTGCTTGGGGGATGGGGTTAACCAGGTGACTGGGAGACAGGAATGTTATGGGAAACTCTTCTCCATCTAACTTCATAAACATTTTGAAGTTTCAACTGTATGAATGTAATTACTATGCAAAAACTAACTTGAAAATAAGATCACTGTAATATAAAGCAGTAAACTGCAATTCAGAGCTCAGCTGTCTGAGGAAGTTAGGGAAAATTGGCTTGGAGCTATGCGCATATCGCTCAGATGCAGTGGGCAGAATTCGGATGGGGTTGAGAGCCTAGAATGGGGGTGGGGTGGGGTGGAGAATGCCCAGCAGAAAGGGATGGAAATGCAGAAGGGAGAGAGCCCAGGGAGTAAGCACCAAGTAAGACTGTGCTACATCGATCCTGGAGGCTTGCACTAACTTTGCTCCTGTTTTCCTCAAGGGGAGGTGGGGAAGCATGAATCAGATTGCCAAAAATGGCAAAAACTCCCGTAGGTGGGTGTTAATGCTAGAGGAGAAGGTTAGGTCAACAGTTAAATTCTCATTGGGATTTAAGTGCCTGCGCCCCACAGCCCGAGGTTCCCCTTCTAAGAGCGCTATTTGCAAGCAGGCTCAGAGCAGTTCAGTGTGGAGCCTAAGCTCCACGGACGTGAGCCGTGCAGGCGGCACCGGGGTCTGGGCATTTGTCAGCTCCTTAACGGCTCCTCGCTGAGCCTCACCACCGCAGGAGCCGCTTCTCCCAGCTAAGACGGGGCCGTTCGTTTGGGAAGAGAGCTGCTTTGGCGAGGAGTCTGCGCTACCAAGCGTTATCCGAATCGGGTGTGGAGGGGGCGAGAGACTCTATAAATCCCTTCTGAGGGGACGCGCTGCAGCCCCAGCCCCTGGGCCGGGCCTACCGAAGCCCCCTCTGACCGACCCGCACGTCCCGCTCCGCACCCGCGCTCACACACACCTCGGCGGTCCTCCGCAGCGTGCGCGCGGGGGAAGCCTCGTGCGGCGGCGGTCTGGTCTCTGCCAGTCCCCCTCTGGCCTCGGATTCCACGGCAAGGTCAAGGGTCATAGGGCCCCTTCCCACTCCGACCGTGCGTGGTTCTCAAACTCAGGGACTTCTCTACCCTGTACCCACTGCCGCACGCTACAGCCGCCCCGCCCAGTTCCCAGGTCGTGTGCGCCCGGGCACCTCGTACCTGTGACACCGAGGCCCTGGAGGCCGCAGAAGTGAGCCACGCGGAGCCCCGGCCCGGGCGGCTGGGGGCACGGCTGGTAGAGACCCACGCCCAGGTAGGCTGGCAGCCACGTCGCGGGAAACCGGGAGGGAGCCGTGCCGAGCCTTACCGCGGCGCCGGCCGGAACGGACAGCGGGGCGGCGACGGCGGGCGCGGGGCGGGCGGGTCTGGCCAGGATGGCCTCGACGGAGAAGGACGACTCGAGGCGCCCGGGAGCGCGGGGTGTGCCTGGGCCGGCGGGGCGGTGCTGGGGCGCGGGGTAACCGCCTGAGCGCGGGGGCTGGTCCCGAGCGCCAGGGGGAGTGGGCGGCCGGCGGCCTCGCGGCACCGGGCTGGGCATGGCTCGGCCCCCGCCCGGACGGGCCCAGGGAGAGGAGCCAGGGCCTGTGGGCAGCCGTGCGGGGAGCGCGAGAGGCGAGGGGGAGCACCCCGCACTAAGGGAGAGAGACTTCTTGGCCAGGAACAGCCCCAGCGCTGGGCGAGGGCTCTTAAATTTGGCGGGGAGCGGAGGGGCGGGACGGGGGAACGGCCTTTCATTCCAGCCGCGCAGAGGGGGGCCTCCGGCGTGCGGCTGGGCCCCGACCCTCCCAAGCCCGTGTGCGCCACCAAGTCAGGGTGGGCACTCTCTCCCTCCCTTCGTCCCTCCGCGTTTAAAATGCCCACCCTGGTGCGGTCAGGAAAGGATCCTGAGCTCGCTGTGCCTCGCTGGTGATCCTGGGCGAGCCACCCCACCACTGGGCGCCGTCAGGCCTGGCCTTATCCTTGCGCCATCTTTGAAGCAGAAGCCCCGGCCAGATGCACCTGGGACTAAGCAGACCTTTAAAAAAAAAAAAAAATGTATTATTTAATTATCAAATATCTTGATAAATACAGTGAAAAGTAAATTTCCCATCCGGCACCCCCCGCCCAGCCACTCAGTTTCCCCTGCCTGGAGACACCAACATGGTTACCAATTTCTTTTGGATTTTTTACAGGAACTTTCTGCACCCACATTACCTGGGCCCCACTGAAAAAAAAAATCTTTCCTATATCCCAAAAGGTGGAAGGGGGAAAAACAGTAACGGTTCCAGATTAAGAAATACTCTTTATTACCAATGCATAGGAGTTGTGTACAAAACTTGAGTTGTGTAGGTTTAGGGCCGGCATTTGTATCCCTGTTTTACAGATGAATAATTAGTACTTACTAGCTGTTCTTGGGCAAACTACAAGTTACTGTTTGTATTTCCCTACCGGTTAAGTGGGTGATACTAGTAGCTACCTCGTGGAGTTGCTGTGCGGATTAGATTACGTGAGTTAACGCATGTAAAGCCTTTATAATTAGCCTGGTGCATGGTGAGCCTTGTGCTGTGGTTGTGGCGCTCAGAGGGATTCTTGCTTCCCAGGCTCCTATTGCATTCTGCCTCCTCACATTAATTGCTAACATTGAAACTACTCAATCGGGTCGAGGGCAGTTCCATGCCATTGTCAATAGGCCTCAGCTGTTTGGGACACAACATGCCCCTGTCTGCTCTGCCAGGTAGGGACTAGAGGAACCTGGCTGAGGTAAAGCAGCCTCCTGCCCTGCCTTCCTTCCCACTTCAACAAATACTGGCCCCACCTTCTGGACAAACCCCCCAGGCAGCCTGGAACCTGAGATTGTGGGTGAAATCATCAGTGGGTGGCCCAGCTAGTCCTAGGTCTAGGATTACTATGGTCTGCCCAGGGGGTGCTGGGTCAGAGATGAGGAGACACCAGTGACAGCTCTGGGGAACGGGTGTGGGTGGGATGCAAACTCAGAAGAGGAGCCACTGGGGGGATCAAGTGAAAGTTGACTCCCAAATCCTACACACACCACTCCATTTCTCAACATATTTCCCTTTCCTTTTCCTTTCCTTTCCTTTCCCTTTCCTTTCCCACTTATTTGAGAGCGAGAGTGTGAGAGAGAGCACAAGCAGGGGGAGCGGCAGGCAGAAGGATAAGCAGACTCCCCACGGAGCAGGGTGCCCAATGCAGGGCTCGATCCCAGGACCCCGAGACCATGACCCCAGCCAAAGGCAGACACCTAACCAACTGAGCCCCCCAGGCACCCCAACATATTTCTTTTTAAGGAGCTTTTCCTCTAAGAGGGTGGGGCTGTGCCACCCCGAGGACCCCCCTGCCGCAGATGGCAGTGCCTAGGTGCCAACAGCATGCCTCTTAGGAGGGATGCGAGGACCCACCTCTTCAGACTTACAAAGACAGTAACAGCTCATGCTGTTGGAGGTCAGTGGAGCACACTGATAGAAAACGTAGATTTTGAAGTTGGATAAACCTGTCTTTAAAATCTCAGCTTTGTCACTGAACATTTCTGTAACTTCAGATAAGTGGATTATTCACTCCAAGCCTCCAATGTCTTGTAAAATGGGAATGATCTCTCCGGTGAGAAAATAATACTCGCCTGATGGGATTGTAAATGAGATGGTGTTTTTAGCTAAATGGTAACCATTACGAGGAGGAGAGAGGCTATTTACATTAGTAGATGAGCTGGGCTAAGCTTCGTAAAAGGGTTCGGTGAAAGGATGGGAACAGATTTATAAGGCCAAGATAAAGTGCTATGTCACTTTATGCACTGAGACTCTCAATGCGCTAATCTGGCAGGAGCAAGCACCCTGGAATTAGGGGGAGTTGACAAAGAATAAGATAAAACTTTTAAGATGGAAGGCTTAAGAACATTTTAAGTCTATTTGTGTTGATTTTTTTGGTAAAGAATATAGTCGCTGTATCTCTAGCTCTGGATTTTCTTTTTTTTTTTTAAGATTTTATTTACTTATTTGGGAGAGTGAGTGAGAGAGAGCACATGAGCAGGGGCAGAGGGAGAGGCAGAGGGAGAAGCAGACTCCCCTGCTGAGCAGGGAGCCTGACATAGGGCTCAATCCCAGGACCCTGGGATCATGACCTGAGCCGAAGGCAGATGCTTAACTGACTAAGCCACCCAGGCGCCCCTCCAGCTCTGGATTTTCAGTCCACGATTCACTGTATTTCAGTACATAGTTGTCTGTTTTCTGTTATTTCACTTATTCCTCCTCAGACTGTAAATTCCTGAGGATAGACATTAATATTCCCAATTTAAACATAAGTAAATAGAGCAAGAGAGGTTAGCAAAGTTGCTAGCTTTGTGAGTTTAGCAAAATGTGGTTTTAATTTGAATTTATTTCCCTGAATACTATTTATGTTCAGCATCTTTTCATAAACTTATCAACCACTTGGATATCCTCTTTTATGTGAAGTGCCTGTTCAAGTAGTTTGCTTATTTTTGTGTTGGGTTACTATCTTTTCTTTATTTGTAAGATGACTTACATATAGATAGATATAGATATTTTGGGATCAAGTTCCTTGTTGCAGTATACAGAGAAGCAAATATCTTCTCCCATTCTGTGGCCTGCCTTTTCATTCTTTATTGCTGGGTTTTTTTATGAACAGAAATTACTAATTTTAATTAAGTTTAATGATCTGTTTTTGGTCCTTTAAAAAGAAACTTTTGCCTGCCCCAGTTATGAAGATATTCTATTATTATTTTTTTAATTCTTTGTTATTTTAGCTTTTCCATTTAGGTCTGGAATTTATTTTTGTGTAGGTGTTAGGGAAAAGATATTTAAAGGATGAGTCAAAATCTGAAGCTATAAAGGAAAGTATTGATTGATTAAAAAACAGAAAAATTTAAAAATTAATTGTAACAATGGTTTGTACCTGTACTTTTTGTTTTCTACACGATTTAAGAGATAGATACATTTAAAGAAAAAACAATTATTTTATGTAAAAGCTAGTATTTTTGTAATTTTGGTTTGCAACTCCAAATCTTGCTTTCTACATAACTTAAGAAACTAATGTATTTAAAATATTTATGTTTTTGGGGCGCCTGGGTGGCTCAGTTGGTTAAGCGACTGCCTTCGGCTCAGGTCATGATCCTGGAATCCCAGGATCAAGTCCCCCTCCGGGCTCCCCACTCAGCAGGGAGTCTGCTTCTTCCTCTGACCCTCCTCCTTCTCGTGTTCTTTATCTCTCATTCTCTCTCTCTCAAATAAATAAAATCTTTAAAAAAATAAAATAAAATAAAATATTTATGTTTTTGGGCACACAACGCATAAAGATGTAATTTTGTGACAACAACTGAAAGAGATGAAGTTGTAAAGGAGCAGAGTTTTTGTTATACTAATGAAGTTAAGCTGGTATAAATTCAAATTAGAATGTTATAACTTTAGGATGTTAAATGTAATCCTCGGGCGCCTGGGTGGCTCAGTTGGTTGAGCGACTGCCTTCGGCTCAGGTCGTGATCCTGGGGTCCCGGGATCGAGTCCCGCATCAGGCTCCCCCTGCTCTGTAGGGAGCCTGCTTCTCCTTCTGCTTCTGCCTGCCATTCCCCTTGCTTGTGCTCTCTCTCTCTCTCTCTCTCAAATAAATAAATAAAAAAATCTAAAAATAAATAAATAAATAAATAAATGTAATCCTCGTGGTAACCATAAAGAAAATAGTTATAAAATATACATCAAAGGAAATGAGAAATGAATTTAAACATTTCACTAACCAAAAAAACCAAACATAAAATAAGACAGTAGTGATGGAAATGAGGGCAAAAAAGCTATAAGGCATATAGAAAGCACATAGCACAATGACAGACCTCAGTCCCTCCTTATTGGTGATTACTTTAAATATAAATGGATTAAACTCTCCAACCAAAAGACAGAGAGTATATCCCATCCAATGAGAAAGAACTTCTTTGTTTTTACCCCAAGGATAGTCAGACATACTCCACTGAATATGGTCTACCATGTCTAACTGGAGAAAAGCAACTTTTTTTTTTTTTTATTAAAGGGGGGTGGGTACTATGTAGGGAGGAGAGCTCCACATGAGCATTTCTTCATAGGATCTCCCTTACTTCTTGTTTGAGACTCACAAATTCACTGATATAATGATCTATTAATGTGCTGTACTTCATGTATGAACTGGTGCATGGTTCATATGATTCAAATTATCAAAGGTCAACTTTGAAATTAATCTAGTTATGTCCTCCAGAGAGAATACAAATAGGTTGAAGTCATATGCATGTGTCCATCCATATGTATACCAATGGAATTGAACCTTAGTTTTAAAATGACTTAGGGATGGGGTGCTTGGGTGGCTCAGTTGTTAAGCGTCTGCCTTCAGCTCAGGTCATGATCCCAGGGTCCTGGGATCAACCACAGCATCGAGCTCCCTGCTCGGTGGGAAGCCTGCTTCTCCCTCTCCCACTGCCCCCCTGCTTGTGTTCCCTCTCTCGCTGTGTCTCTCTCTGTCAAATAAATAAAAATCTTTAAAAAAAATTAAAATGACTTAAGGATGCTTGGG